CTGGCTTTGGATAAGTGTTTTTAGTACCTGTTTGTTAAATGATACAGACTTCGGGACATATGCTTGTAGAGCTTTTACCCGTATATGACGTCTGATAATCTAAAAACGATGCGTTTATGATAATAAATAGTAAGTGCTCGGTTTCGGTAAATAAAATGCTGCAGAAACCATTTTATAATGTATGTTGTTGCTAGGAAACAGATGGTTAAGGATTTAATGGATTTAATCTAAATTGCAGAATGAAAGTTCAACAATGTGTGTGCCCCCCTGCAACGAAACATCCTTCCTCACGTTCATCCATCTTTGCTCATTTCAGATCTGTAAAATCTCCACATGGCTCCCATCATAGGAAACCAAACCCTTTCCATACTTTCTATAAGTGTGTCATATCAAAGGAAAGGTGGGGGACAAGGCGTCTTAGCTCGGTTGGAACAAGCCCAATGTAACCATAGATAGACCTTGAGTTTGGTAAAGGGTTGTCAAGAGAGGGTTTTTTAAGCTCAAATTCCAATAACAAGTAGGCTTCCTGTAACACCTGGAGTAATCGAATGCATCATTCCTATAAAAATGGTCTAAATAATGAGTTTGCTGAGAATGAAAAACTCATATTCAGGTTATTTCAAAGCCATTGTTTGGCCATTGTCACCACCAGAGCTGAAATAGATGATCAGTTGATCAACAGAAAAAGCCATTTTGATTTCAAGCTAAGCTCCAGTCTCCTGTAATTGTTTGACTATTCACTCTATTTGACATTTGATACACCAACACATTTTTCTGTTGACTGATTAATCAACAACCAGAGGAGGGTGAATTGCTCATGAAAATACAATGGATGTTAGTTAAAGCTCTTAGACTTAGTTCTGGTACAAAGTATAGTTGAAATCTTATTACCTAAGTAAAGTCTGTAATGCTCCTGGAAGTGCTGAGTGTGTGTGTTTATACATTAAGAGAGTTATGTGGTCATTTATGGCTTTGTCCTAAAAATATGCATGAGTTTGCAAGAGTATGCTGCCTGATACGCCAGTGGTTTATTGGATGGAGAGTTCTCGGTTGGCCTAACATGATCTAACCCTGGCACCAGAAGGACGGACACACACACACACACACACACACACACACACACACACACACACACACACACACACACACACACACACACACACACACACACACACACACACACACACACACACAGCATGTTCTCTCTGAACTCTCAGTAACAGGACCCTCCTGCACCTCTGTCAGCTCTCATTGCCGTAACAATTAAACAACCGGTGAAGTCTTTTCTTCGCTGTCGTTTAATCTCTCCCATCTTTTTCTATCTTTCCACCCACTCATGTCTAACAACTATCCACAGACCTCAGTGTTGGCCGTCCTTTTGTCTGTCTGACTGAAGAACAAGACTGTGGTTTTTGGCTTTCAATGAAAGCCCATTGTAACCTCTCATCATTGCATTTATAGATCTTAAAACCACAGAAAAAACAAAGAAACTGTATAACTGACGTTCCACTTCCTCAGCTCTCCACTGGGCTCCAGCCTGAAGCAATGTTTTTTGGCTTATTGTCTCAGAATATAACGCTGCCTCACTAAAAACGTTTAAGGTTGTTGGACATGTGCGATTGCAGGTCATCCACGAATCAATGGTTCAAGTACTTAGCACAGATTTGGCTTTGCCTGCAGCTGCTGAATGGAAAACCTTATTAAGAACAACTCTGGGACAAGAGAGGAAACCATGAACCTGTCAGGCAGGCGGTCAAAGCTTCCCTTCAGGCACTGTTGTGTTTTTGGTAGAAGTTTTTTTTCTGGTAAGAGTTCAAGGAAAGCAGGTTTTAGAGAGCAGATCATGGCTCGTTGTCGATTACAGCACCATAAATGTGTCACCTTAGCGCTCAAGTAAATTAAACTTTGGATAAACTTTTCAATCGCATTGATGTTGGGAGGCGTGTGGTGCAGTGGGTGGCGCTGGTGTTGGGATCAGGGTTCAAACCCCACTGCAGTCAGCATGTCGTTGTGTCCCTGAGACACTTCACCCCAAATTGCTCCTGAGGGGATTGTCCACAGTATTGAGTATGTAAGTTGCTTTGGATAAAAGTGTCTAACAAGTGACATGTAATGTAATGTAATAATGTTGTTTATCATTTTTGAAAGAAGCCTGTTGAATGTCTTGATATCATAGACGACTGAAATTCAACTCAAATCATGGTTCAGTTGGCCTGGATCTAAATGTAATACACTTTCCAGAGACATCATACTGCACTTGTTTTGACCAAAGGACAGAAGTCATGTTTCCAGAAATAGCTACTCGGCTGTCTTGGAGATGGCAATCTTTCATGAAAGTTATGAAAACAGTAGTCTTATGTAGGTTTGGGTTTCTGTGCTGACTGAAAATAAAAGATCTCAGGCCTTGCTGCTACCAAAATATTATGATGGGAGGGATCGGCGGAGAAACATCTAGATAGGGTTAGGGTTGGTACCAAACCCTAACCCTAACCCTAACCCGTGAGTGAGACAGGTTTTAAAAGGTTGGAAAGTCTTCCGGCTTATTTTTGTGTTTTCCCTCCTGATTCTGCGGGGGTATCTGGACCAAAATACTCTGAAAGAAATACTCTACAGTTAAGTTATTACAAATCCATCCTAAGGGGGAATGCATATAGCGACCAAATTCCATGGCAACCTGTCCAATGGTTAGTTAAATATATTTAAAAGTGGATGCAATCTGAGAGCGAATGTCCCAAAGTAATGAGCTCAATTGACAACATGTTTTTTTATGGAGGGGCGTTTTTGGTTGACAGTAAGATGTGACTAACTGAATTAACTTCCTGCTGTAGATTCTCGGAAAGGTTATGGTATCTGTAAACAACATATTAGTGGCAAAAGAATCCCATCCATTTGAATAGGAACAGGTTCTCCCACTTTTAAGAGATGGCAAATGTGTGAGCTGGCAGCATTCCGTGTTTCACATAAAATGTTAATGCCGTTGCTCAACACGCTTCACGAATCCACGTTGATTGTTTTGATCGAAATGCGCATTGAGGTCACATCGACACACGCAACCACAAAAAAGGCTTTTTATGGTGTAACGCTGTTGTGGCTTTGAAATACAACCCAATCAATACATTTAGTGTTACCCAAAAAAGGGGGAGTGAATCAGCTCACAAGTGAATTGACACATTGCAAATACAATATCTGAAGAAAACGTAGGGGATCAATCCTCTTGAGAAATATGTTTGTAGTGACCGCAACACCAATATGCCGCACACTCACCCATTTACTGAATGTTTGACTGCACATCAAAACAAACTAAACGCCTACATGCTGAGCTCATTTCTCAGGAAGCAATCTGAACCTTTAATCTGCTTCCATTTCAAGGAGCCTCATTCTCAGTCATGGTGGTGTTGGCAGATAATGATAACCTTTGACCTGTTGTCAAGGACACGGGTAAAGTTAATGTGTGGTCATTTAAAGGGTTGTCTCTAATAATGGCCTATGTAATAATTGATCAATCTCTTCATTAAAGTGGGTACAGTCTACCTTGCTCGAAGAGTGTTTTGTGATGAAGAAGTGGCGTCTTTTTGAGAAAGTAGTTCATTGAAATGCTCTGTTATTTGTACATTACCTTTGAGTTAAAGTAAGGGAGTTGTATCTTGGTTGAAAGAGTGTCGAGAGAGAATTTTCCTGAATGCAATTGTGTTTATTGTAGTAGCTGGTGACAGCATGGCACTACTTAGCATTTGGTGTTTTCCCTCTCCTTCTTGTTGAGCCTTTCTCTAACAATAACCCTAAAAATAATTCAAAACCTTTGTCTTCAAAATAACCTGTGCGGTCATTGGAAGTGCCGACTTTCTTTCTTTCTTTCTTTCTTCTTGTGGAGACGTCTGGACCCCACCAGAGAAAACATAACAGCTTCAATGTGTGCGAGTATAAAAACACTTGAGACAGAGGCCTCACTTGAGTCATACTTGCTCAGCACCTCAACACAAAAACTCAGACAGGCATTCACAGTGCCCACCCATGCTGGACCTGCCCACCCACAGACACCAAGAGGACCCCACAGCAGCAGGATGACCTAAACTACCACTTTTGGTAACTTCAGATTGATAGTATTTTGGTCAAGTGTTCGCAGTAGTCCTACCATTTTCGTAGCTTTAATAATATGTATTTTCCCAAATGAATGGATCAGCAAATGGTGGAAAATACATCTTGTAGGTAAAGTTGCTTGAAGGAGACTTGCTAAGTGACTCATTGGATCAAAACACTAGTTGTATAACTACAGATAAACACATACAGACACCAAGAGGACCCCACAGCAGCAGAAATACCTAAATGACCACTTTGGTTTATTGAACCCTCCTATTGTCTTCGCTCCCCCCCTTACGTTGGTGTTCGCGGTCAAATTTGACCGGTCCTTTTTTAACTGCTATTACATTAACACGACCACCATGAATCATCACCAAATTTCATTTAACAACCTTTCAAACTGTACATATTGTATCAGACTACTGGTATACATGAAAAACTGCAGTAAATATACAAAGAACAGACACTGAACATGTATTGCGTGTGCCAGGTGTGATCCATGTGGGGGGAGGGGCACATAAGAGCGGGAAATGTGTCAAATTGTTCAGTGTGTGTGTGTGTGTGTGTGTGTGTGTGTGTGTGTGTGTGTGTGTGTGTGTGTGTGTGTGTGTGTGTGTGTGTGTGTGTGTGTGTGTGTGTGTGTGTGTGTGTTTTTTTTATCTGATCCGGATGGTTACTAATTCCTTTTCTTTATGGCGGTCATTTTTGACCACCATTTCTGTTACAAAGTTGACTACATCATCCAAAATTCAATGAAAGTGGTGATCAGCCATTTATATGTTCAAATGTCTACTGTGAAGGATATCATGAAGCCTTAACGCAATCAAATGTAAAACAAAAAAAGTTACGATTGATGAAAGTAGTAAATTGGTCAGATTTGACCCGAAGACAACAGGA